ATTCATTAAAACCACTGCCTGAATGTGATGGAATGGTTTCCATTCTCAAAGGAACCTAGTCTCAATGTTTTTGGGGACTCAAATGCCCCTGATAGGATCTCAAAGTTCTGAGTGACTGGTCAGAAATGCAGCAATTCAAAAAGAAAGTTCAGCTTATTGTTGAACCTCATGTTCCAAAAGGGACTTTTGTTTTCATCTCGTCTATCGAACGCTGGACCGGTTCACAGGAGTTTGCCAAACTGGTCCACATGTTTTTTATGGATCTGGACAGGGCATTCAATGATATCCCTTTTGGTTCCTTGTAGGGGATGCCCCTCAAGTACAGAGTTGGGGCGCTTTACTAAGGGCCATCTGGTGTTTGTACAGTGAAGCACTAATTTGCTCTACATTGCAGCATTAAGTCAGACCTGATCCTGATGCGTTTATGACTCGAGCAGGGCTGCCCTCTCTCATCGATCCTGTTCTGAACCTTTACAGAGAGGATTTTGGCAAAGCCAAGGGCAGACGTGGGGTTTGTTTGGAAACCATCGGATTTCATTCCTACTTTTTGGAGATGATGCCGTTCTGCTGGCTCCCTTCTGCCATGACCTACAGCATGGACTGGGGAGGTATGATGCAGATGTGGAAGTAGATGTAGATAAAAATCATCTTTAAGCAATCTTCTTGACTAGAAATAGGTGTCTTTGCCACTGGTACTGACTGAAGCCGAAGATTACAAGTACAATAATGATTATTTTGTTTTGTCAATTTTAGCTCCAGCAGTACTATGATAATGTTAATGATAATGCTAGCTTCTTTAACCACTGAATGGACCTTTTGACCTTTTTTATAATCTGAGTTTAAAGATTAATGAAACAAAATGTTGGACAATATTTAGTTTCTTACCTATTACAAAGTAGAGAAACACATAAAAGATATAAGCAAATCAATAAACCTAGTTTCTATTTCCCTGTCTAAAAATTTGTAAACACTGCCTTTTGCCGATAGAGCTGGAGATGGAATGAAATAATTAATAATTGCTCCATGTTCATGACAGAGAACATTTTGGTTTCCAATTAAAGGTGTTAGTTCAGCCTTTTGAAATACAAATGTTGGTCTGTGAACAACTAAACTAGTTTTTGTTTCTATTAAATGCATTTTTATAAACTCTTAGTAAAACCAATATTTATATTTTGTGATTTATCCTTAGTTTATGCTGGTTAGATCATGGTTTCAAAACCCTAATTCTGTAGGTACTTACAGAACTTTGTTTGAAGCTTTGACCACTGGCAGCAGCCTGAGAAGAGCCTCCTCTGAAGCAGAGTATTTCTTCAGGTCAAACACATCCAGATCTTCTCCTGATGTCA